ATGAATCCTTGTCCGTCCCTCAATGTTCACCATTTACATCTCAAATATTAGCCAGATATTGTACTATGTAAATATCTTAAATTTAAAGCTGTCATGATATAATTTATTATATTTTAATAAATCCGGCATTAATTAAAATCAGGCCACATTTTGCCCCATAAAAGGACGAATTTAGAATTTCAACTTAATGCTAATAATTGAGCTACAAGTATTAGTATCGACTCTTTATTGTCAATAAATCGCTTAAATATGTGTTATTGAATTAAAATCCGTCGTGGGACCTTAAATAGGATATTTACTCGTACATCCGATTCTGAATATGACATGAAACAATAATTTGCTTAAAAGTCCAAATATTTTTTACCTAAAACTTGGTTAAAAGCTTAGTTTCAAAACATATCGCTTTATAGTAGATTGAATCCTTCGAGTTCCTGTCATTTGAAAATCATTTGTTTTAAAGTCAAATATTATTTCAAAATTTAAATTTCTGGTAATTTTCTCATAAAATATTAACAATGAAATTTTAATAAGATTAATATTCATATAATGTCAATTAATATAAAAATATGTACAACTTTATTAGCCGTTCATAATTTTATTATTTTTTTTTTTAGAAAAAACGGCTTTTAGTTGATGCATTTTTGAAAATATTATAACAATGTGCTAAAACACTCTTGGAATTTAAAATTTGAAATTTTAAATATACTTTAACCTGTTATTTTTTTTATCGAAACGATATATTAAAGGTTTTCATACAAAAATTCTTTATCTATCTGTTAAACGATAATCGGATATTGTGATTGTGGCCCTGAGAGTATCAAATAAGACTCGGGAGTACAACGGTACTTTTGAACATCAAATAGTATCAAAAAAAGTACCATCGTACCAATTTTGCCATCCCTGGGTGTAGATATAAAAGGATCGCGGCCAGAAGAGAAGAAAAAAAAACGATGAAAGAGAAATTAAATGATAGGCAGAAGAAAGGAATTACAACATTGTGGTGAAAAAAATTCTCCACAATTCTGTTATCGAAATTTCCAAGGTCATATACAATTTCATTCTTGTATTTTAAAACTAGAATTTTGTTCATCCTAAAAGTATGTAGTGTATAATATTGTAATTTAATGTTTTTTTGTAATTTTTAGGTAATGCAGTAATAATGTGAACTAAGCATGATATGAAACTGAAAATAAGATGGCGCAAAATTTAATAAAAAAGCGGCATGAGACTGCTTTTCTCAAAATTCAAAAATATTTTATGTAATTAATAAAAAATAATAAAATATGTATAACTTACAATTCTGTGTTTCTTTGCTTTATGAATCTGATAAGTAAAACTTTTCGAATCTTTGACAAAAATTGAAGAAGACATTTTTAATTCACCCTGTCGTATATACATATACATGGATGGTGTGTATAAATACATTTTAGGAATAAAATTTGCCCCTCATAAAATTACAGCTGTTAAAACTCCTTATTTTTATTTTAATGCTCCATCTATGTTTCATTGATAGATATAAGATATGGTTTAAGACATTTTTTTATTTCATTTTGTTGCACACAAATTAATTTTAAAAGTTAACTCAAAATCAAGTTAACTTTTTGTTAACTTATTTACAACTGGCTTCAAAGCTAACTGAAAAATTATAAAGGAATAAATCAACATATAAATAAAATGAAAAACAAAAAACACTATAGAAACTCATATGTAACATATGTATGTATTCGTTAAGCAATTTACATTTTTTGCCGATTCGAAAAACATAGAACGCAAGCACATGATTTTAGTGTGTATCTTTAATACTTTTTGCCACATACTCCGAACATTTTCAAATTCTCAAACCAATGTGAAAAATTAAATATTCATCACAAACGCGCAGATATGTAAATTTAACTGCAACCTAATGCATTATAATGAACTGTTTTACCATATACAAATGTTATCATAAACGAGCAGAATATGTAAATTTAATGCATTATAATGATATGTTTTATTTTATACATATGTTATTATTGAAACATAGATGGTGCTTTGTAATGAAATTAATGCTGCTATAAAAACTATAATATTTTGTGTAGCAAATTATATGAATTTACCGCCATCTTTTTTTCAGTTTCATAGAAAAACTGCATTACCTATAAAAACGTACCAATTATGTTAAATTTTGCAATACACAGCATAGCTTTAGGATGAATAAAAATAGCCGTTTTTTATATGAACTGAGCAGTGTTGTCAGAAAATTTTCACTCATGCCACCAAACATAGGTTAGAAGTCCCCAACAATCTCCATTTTTAAATTGAAATACCCATAATTTTCCCAAAAAAACCTCATGATTGATTGCGAAACATGTCTCTCACCATTATGGTCCCATACTTTATATGTGATCGCTGAGACTATATTCTAATTTTAGTGTTAGTATTAGAAAAATCGAAATTATCTTTTTTTGATATGTACTTGACTCAAACTTTTTGAATTTATTATACTTATATAAAAACAATACAATTTTTTTCTCAAACACATAACCATTAATTTGAGACCAAGATTAATAAAATCGAACAATTTATTTAGAAATTATACTATATTAAACTTTATGCCTTTGAGAAAAAAGAAAGAACTAAGAAATAATATAAAAATTAACAATTTTGAATATTCTTTAGAACTTTGAATTTTGTATTTATTCAAAGAGTGTACCAAATTTATCCAAATCGGAGAGGGTAAGGTGCGATCCCTGTTTGAAATATTTAAAATCGACCTTTATATAAAAAAACTAAACTAGAATGAAAATAATTATTAATATTAATAAAAAATATAAAAACTCCCAAAAATAGCGCAAAAATTATAAAAAATCTCCAAATTTTACGAAAATCCCCAAATCGCTCCCCACGAAATCTGTCCCCAAGTAAAACTTGAAAACTATTTGGGGTCAAATCCTCACATCTGGCGACACTGGAACTGAGCATGCTACTTAGAGGAGGGGTATCTCAGCAAAATCGTCCAGGTAAGAAATGTACGTGTTGTATGTCGATCCTAGCAAATTTTGCTGAGCTCGGTGGATTCAGCAAAAATTTTTAAAATGGAAATGACGCCACAAGTAATGGACGCTACGCTGGCGTGGTATTGATGCATTTTGCATTCGAAGAATGAACATTCTTGTGTGAACTTGTGCAATTTGTCTTAAAGTGTTTTTTATTTTTAATAAAAATTATTTAAATTTGAATAATTTTGAATAATTTGAATAATTTTGAATAATTGTTTTGCTCCATATACCCTGAAGGCCTGCACAAGATAACAATAATAATGTAACAATTTGCTAAAAAATTTCGTGTGCAAATTGTCGCAGTATTGTTTTCTTGTGCAGGCCTTTAATATACAGCCACCATAAAAGAACAGTATTGTTCGAAACCTAAGCAACTTTTTTGGCATTTTATACAAAGTGCAATATTTTGTATTTTAATTGATTTATTCAAAATTATATAATTATTTTGTATAATATTATGTGTCTACATTATAACAACAACAAAAGTTTAATTCCATTTTGATGTGAGTTACAAGAAAATATTAATAATTAATTAATATTAAATATGAATTAACTCCTTAAATAGATGTTCGAAACTTAAGCAAATTTTTGCTCTTTTTATGAAAATTCCAAACACCTTTATGGAATAGATTAGTTACTAGTGTAGTTCGTAATGAATCCCAACCGAATTTTAACCATTCGCTGCTATGTTTTTTAAAATGCGAGTTCTGACCCAGCGATTTAAAATGCCGAAGAGCATCTCTAAAGTATTTGAGTCAGGAGATTTTGATGGGCAATCAAATAATTTGGGTCTTATTACCCGATAACTACTCTTAGATCAACATTGTTAAAAATAATAGGTGAGTTTTCGCTTTGAAATGTTTTTCCGATTAAAAATATTACTTTTAATAACAAATAATTCACTTAAATTACACTGAATTGAAGACTTTAAAACTATTATTTATAAAATTAAAGCATTTTGTAATCGTTTAAACAACAAAATTAATATTTTTTGTAATTTTTTTTGGTTTTTACATTACTCCTTGTTTAAGCTGTGTTAATTAATAATAAATACGGAAAAAATCATTCCTGTTCTGAAAAATATTGTGTGTTTTATAATTAAACACGTCAAATAAGATGTTTTTGAATATGAAAAATGTATGGAAAAACGAGTCGAATTTGAAGTGTTTAAAAAAACTTACTGAGTTTCATAAAACTCGAATGTGTGAACGTAGTATTATGTATATTATTTTTATCTAAAAATTCTTTACACTTGTATTAATAATATTTGATTAGTATTTTTTCCAAATTTCAAACAGAATATGAGTTTAAATTTAAAAAATAAAAATCGATTAGCTTCTTTCTTGTTATCGATAAAATTGTCTATGAATCTTACCGCCCATATATGATAACTAAATACTTTTACTACATTTCGGAAGTCTGGTAACACCTTGAGCAGAAAATGAGCAAAAAGCAAATGTCAAACAAATTTTGTTTGTACTCAAAGTATATTAATAAAGTAGCGACATCTCTTGTTGTACAACAACATCTACAACAACCACATGTATTTTGTTTTTGGAAAATTTAAGATTGTGTCAAAATAAAATTTCCTTGAAAAACAATGTGAACAAAACATAAATAAAAAATATTACTTTTAAGTTAAAGATATTAACGATTTAATTATATTATTATATATTATACAATTTATTACACTTTTAAACTACTTTAAAACCACTTTTAATTCACTTTTTCAACTTTTCACAAATTTTAACAAATAGCAAAACACAATTTAAAAATGGCGACGTAAACAATGTTAACAATTTTCAAAACAAACTTTGACAATTTGCTTCATTTATCTAGTTTAAAAAAAATAGTCAGCTGTTCAAGTGATGCTACTTTATTAATTTACTTTGTTTGTACTTTTTATCTTTCTTGACATTTTTCATATAGTATTGCAATTTTCCTTTGTTATGCGTTTCCTTCTTGTCTTTTCTTTTTGGAGTTGTATTTTTCACTTCATTTAATAAAAATCGGTGCGAAAATTTCAGCAAGATATTAATATTCATTAAAATTCTTTGAAAAAAAAAACAATTTTATAAAAACAATAGTGAAAAAAATATTTAAATAGTCGTTGAAATGGTTGTGATAATAAACAATATAATTTGAAAAAAAATAAGCAGCAGACAAAAAGAAAAAATGTAAATTGAAAGAAAATCATTTCGTGCATTCAGCAGCATTTTGTGTATAAGAAGAGTGTTTGTTTGTTTGTTTGTTGCATATGAATGAGAATTTTTTATTTTTGTTTTTTTAAATTCGTGTGATTCTTGTTGGTTTCTGTTTTTCTTGCTATTTCGAGCGCAAACGAAATGCAAATTTTTTCAATAAATTATTGTTTTAAATATTTGCAGGATGCTATAATTAAATAAAATTGTTAAAGTTTATTGCGTTCATAATTTAAAAAAATTGTTAACTATTGTGTAAATAAATGTTTCAATGAGTGTGTTTTAAATATGTAATTTTATTTTGTGTATATATAATAATTATGTTAATAATTGTTTATATTCAATTATTTCATCAGTTGGTATTATTTTCTTATTCGATGCTTTGAAATTCTTCCTAAATTATTTTACCTAAATGAAAAATACATTTCATACAAAAGATAATTTTTTCTAAATCCCAATTGATTATATTCGAAAATACAACTAATTTTAAACTTAAGTTATGTACGACCTTTTAATAATTTATTAATAATACATAAAATAAGATTGCCTCTAGATTGAGTTTATTACTTAGCAAACATTTAATAATCGATACTGTACGAGGTTAGTCTGAAAATTAACATTGGATTATACTAACATTTACAATTAAAATAGTGCCAATCGTTTATTATAATTAACTAGATTGCTGTCATAATTTAAAAAACGGTCTACTACATCTCAAATAGAACAAGTTACCAGTAGTCGGCCATTTAACTTTTTTCCTTTTCAAACTTCTTAATAATGAGGAAATTTTGCTTAGATGTAATGATATAAGACATTATACGTATAACAACTATGTAATTAATATGTACATTCTTTAAGATGTTTTTTTTCCAAGTGGTCGGCAGGTGTATCCATAGTTCAGTGAAAGGTTACCCTATTGTCGGTATTTTTATTAAAAAGCTATATTTTATAGAAAAAATGTTAAGATATTTTTTGTAAAAAACAACTAATTTTTAAATGCATGACGTCAGCTTCAAGAGTGTAGACCATGTTAAATAGGGAATGGTAAATCAATAATTCGATTATTGCTATAAAAAATCGATTATTTTGTGATCGATTCTACACTACCAATTTTATACTGAATCGAGTTTTTCCCACGATTAATAGGAAATTTTGCTCTGCAAAATAAAAAGCATATTTTTTCAATCAAATGTTGTCAGAGACGGTGGCCAAGTTATAAACATGATGGTACTAAAGAATGTACAATATTAGGACACGATTTAACTTGTGCCTTTTATAAAATGTCTCCTGAAAACAAAATATCATAAATAACCGCATCCTAATAATTGTATTCGAAAAAATATAAAATTGTAAGGTTTTTCATAAAAATAAAAAAATATATGTTCAGCATTTTCATACAACAGAACAATGGATAATTTAAGAAGGGTAACTAAAGCAATATTTAAGAAACTAAAATAGGTGATAGAAAAAATCGAAAATCAATTAATAACTTTTCAAACCATTCACTAATGCTAACCTTATGTAAAAACCGATAAAAACTCAAATTCGACTTATTTTTCCTAAAAAGTAGATCATTTTATCAATAAATCGGAAAACCAACTAAGATTTCTTATGTGTACCATATACATTATGCAATCAGACTATATTTACATATTTAGAATATAATATAAATTTGTGAAATTATATACATACGCTCTTTATAGGCTTTCTTGAACTTTCTTAAAATTAGGTCGACAATAATGCATGAAAACGGATCAATGCCTAAAGGGTTTCAACCTATAATGAATTGTGAGATAATCTGAAAAAATAAGTAATTCAGCTGATAAAATCTGGTAGACTCCGAGGGCAGAGTCCCGCAATTTCCCCTAGTTCCTCATGGAACCTATTTTTCAGCCATTTCAATCTGAGACTCTGTATTCCAGGACAGCGGCAAATTATGTATGTGCTCAAACGTCTCTAGTTTCTCTGTATCTTCGTATATTTTGTAATAGCCCGGTACATTACTATCCCACTTACTGACAAAGGTCCTAATTGAGCAATGTCCCTTTAAGATCTCTCTCAAAATCATTAGACTGCGCATATCCAGTCTTATAAGTATCTTGAAAGTCCTCACATCAAGTGTTGGCCATAAGGCGTTTGGCATATTGCAACTATTCTTGGACTGGTTGATGAGTCTCTTAAAGATCAACATATTATTGTGACAGATGGGTGGTTTGCCTAATTAGTTTGTCTTCGTCATCAACACAGTGTAATAGTAAACAGTCTCATAATGTCCCTAACATTATTTCCACAATCTGCTATTCATATAAGTTATTTGACAAACCACTGTACAAAATCCAGCTGGAGTTCAAAGATGTTGTATTTACAGTTATACACTGCCGCTCACTTGAATAGGTTTACTGTTTTTTACCTTCAAATTAATTTTTTTGCAAAAAATAATAGACTGATAAGTTATATTAAAATATTTTGAACAATTTTTTTTTTGCTCATTTGTATAGTTTAGCTTTCATAGCCTTTTTAACTCCTTGAATTTAGGCTTCTTTTGTGTCATACTTCCTACCCGAGAAAGGATATTCCAAACATTTTCAATAATAAATAGGTGAGGATTATATAGAAGCCACTCCAAAATGTTTACATTATGACTTTAAATCCATCATTTTATTGTCCTAGCGTTGAAGATAGGGGCATTATCCTGTTCAAACGGTATTGCTCCAAAGATGTTTAGCAAAAACTTCAAGTGAGCTGCAGATTATTAGTTGTCCGTTGTTTACAAACTGTAAACAGCTAATACTCTATCAAGAGCGACATTACACGAGGCAATATTTGCTGAAACGACTAAGAAATATCACTTCATTGAAATTTGCAAGAATGGACATTCTTAAAGAAAACACAGGAAAAGATAAAATAAAATTTTACCCTCCCCACTATAATGGTGTAGGGTATAAAGAATGTTCAACCATTGTTAATGCCTTATTTTAGAATAAAAGAAGAGATTTCTGTTTTGGGTGACACTTTACTGAAAATTCATCCATTTTTAATTTAGACCACAGATAATTATTTTTATAAATTTCAAGAACTTATTGTAATTTCACACCCTTTACAACCTGAAGTTAAATTAATTCATAAAACTTTTGTGAAAGTCGTAAAAAGATTTTAGATATTAACAAATTTAGTTAAGCACATTTCATTATTTACATGTCTTTCATTTCATATAATTGTTTGATCTCTTCTCATTCATAGTTTAAACTAAAAAAACAGTGTATCAATGCACATTGTGTTCTGAAAAAGGCAATTTCTATAAACAAGACGATAATACAGAATAGGCAAAGAGTGATTACCGTTAAACTCTAAAACAACGCAAAACAATTAAAGGCAAAAAAAAAAAAACAATTGACAATTGATTCTACTTCTGTGTTTCAATGCCATGAACTGCGACAGTGATTTAATGACGAGTACGATAATAGTACAATTACAATTTGTCAATGACTTTGTTAAACGTCTAGTCTGTAAGTTGTCCTTGGTCAAAGAAGAGGAATCATCAAGATTGTGTCGAGCAAAGGAGTCGTTGCTTTGCGCCCTGTTTATGTGAGTATTATTTAATAATTTATTTTCAATATTATGCAATTGAATCTACACACAAACATGCATAAATCTTATGGAATAATAATAATTGATTTCAATAAATATTTGTTTTGTTTTCATTAATTCTCAGTGTCATGAAGACTGCCTAAGAAGAAGAAGAAACGATGAAGTTGTACTACTAGACGATAATGTAAATAAAAAGCAAGGACTATTCTGAATTTAACAAAGTAAATAAATAACACTCAACAAGTCATCAAGTACTGCTGTTGATCAGTTTGAAAATTAATTGGTAAGTGGATGTATGCATTTGATTTATTTTTTATACTTTAATAAATAATATAGTTACAAGCAATAACAGCCTAAATCGATATTCATACTTTGAAGAAAAATTACTTTCTACTATTATTATCAGTTTATACTATTATTATGTATTATAATGTGTACCATGAGGTAGGGAAGTGCCATCTCGGTCGATAACATTGTATAATGGGATGTGATTTTGTAGACTTACTGGAACAGTTTAACAGTTTAGTCACAGTTACATGAGGGCATTAATGGCAGACAATGCAAGGATTAACGATTGCACTTTACACACGATATGTTGGTAATTATGTCCAACATAATTACCAATATTAGAAGGGATGGCAAAATTGATACGATCGTCTTTTTGTTACAAAATTTCATGTTAAAAAGTACTGTGATACCTACGAGATTTATTTAATACTCTCCAAGTGTTTCGACTTTTTAAGAAATTATTAAAAACTCTCTTTTTTATAAAATTAAATAACTATTTTCGCATACAAACAAGCGGCAAATAAAATTTTAGAGCAGTAGATATCCCACCGACATTATTAGATTAAAAGGCCCTCTTTTTGAAAACGACATTCGTTTCTACCAATGTTTTTAATTTTTTTAACATTTATAATTGTAATCAGAAGATGTATAACATTTAAATGTCCATGCAAATACATTTTTAGAAAACATTCAAGGCTATATGAAGATTTCAGATGAAATAATCAGAACTAACAATTTAACACTTACATATAATAAATATTATAAAAATATTTTAAATGTCTCTAAATTTCTAAATGAAAAAAAAAAAAATACTGCGGTATTGGACAGTTTTCAAAGACTCTTATAGTCCTTATAAAATTTTAACATCACTAAAAGAAGTTTGGGTGTTACTTTATATGGACGACTGGCGCTGTAGTCAATAAGCCTGAAGCCTGATAACTATGAAAATCGGCAGCATCTTTTAGAGTTACATAAAACTAAGTTGTGTCGATTTTTGTATTCGATTTGAAAACGGTTCAATAGAGTTCGTCCTTGGATCAAGGCAAGAATATGTGCCACATTTCATCAAATTATCTTAGAAATTGAGTTTACATGTTCACATAGACGGATGTACGGACATGTGTTAATCGATTCTAGACTCATTTTATTGAAATTTTTACAGCATATTTCTTTATTTCAAAATTTATTTTATATATTTTATTTCAAAACTTAGTTTTTAAACAAAATTGCAATCTTTTTTATGTGGACTTGGGTTTTCTGAATCTAACTATGCAGTTTAACATAAGTATATATATTTCCTGTTACAATTGGATTTAGTAATACATTTTTCCAAATTACATGTTATTAAAAACCCCTGTTTTGAAAGGGTATGCACGGTTATAATTTTGGTGCAGACATTCCTTATAAGTTTTTCTAAGAGCTAAATTTAGTCATTAGACGGGTTTCGAGGTCTTTTACCCAGCAAAAAATAATTGATGTCATACTTTACAAACGACATCTTAATCACATGCTTCTAAAAATAAGAATAGATGTAGTTCAAAGTTGTCAAAAATGACACATTAATGTAAAATTCATTTGATTTTGAAGCACTTCGGGTTACTAGTTGTGATGAAAATACTACATCTCTTTCCACACTTTTTTGCTGGGATACTAAGGAGAGAGATCGTAAAATTCTTAACACTCATTTTTCACTATAACTTTTAACCCAAGTAATATTTGATTTTTTTATTAAGTTACCTTTGTAAAACATGTCAGTTATTATGTTTAATGTCAATTATATTCATTTGTTGCTAATCTGATTAAAATGAGTAACCTCAAAAAGAGTGCGTACTAATATTATTAAATATTTTCAACAAAACCCAACTTTGTCCTACAAAAAGTTGGCCAAGCATTCAAAGGTCTGCCGTCAAACTGTTTCCAATATTATTTAACAGTATCGGGAGAACTTGTCCGTTGATAGAAAACCTGGTTCAGGTAGAAGGAATGGTACACATGATGTTTCTAAAGCCAAAACAAGACAGCTTTTTAAAAAGAGCTCCTAAAACATCCAGTAGAAAAGCAGCCCGGTTAGCTGAGTGCTCGGACCATTTGGTACGAAAGGTTAAAGCTAATGTGGGTTTAAAAACATACAAGGCTCAAAAAGTTCCTGACAGGAACGCTGCTAAAAATTTAGAGGCCAAAAACAGAGCACGGAAATTGAAGTCAAGTTTTATAAAAAAATATTCGTGCTGCATAATGAATGACGAAACGTATGTTCTGGCAGATTTTTCGCAACTTTCTGGTCAAAAATTTTATGTTGCTGATGCTCGAGGGAATGTTGAAGAAAAGTTTAGGACCCAAAAGCAGACAAAATTTCCCAAAAAGTTCTTGGTATGGCAAGCAATATGCAGTTGTGGCAAAAGAAGCCAATCATTTGTTACAAAGGGCTCTATAAATACCGAAATTTACATCAAGGAATGTTTACAAAAAGGCTGCTTCCATTCATAAGACTTCATAATGTGTTCACTTACTGCTGGTTTCTCTAAATGCGAAAGAACATTTTCATTCTTACAAATATATTGAAAACAATAAATAAATTTAAAATTTTGTTTTTGTTTTCAATATATTTATAAGAATGAAAATGTTGTTTCGATATTATGAAACATGCAGTTAGTTTATCACTAGTGATTAAAACTATAAAAATATATATTTTTTGTAAATTGTAATAATAATTTCAATCAAATAAAAAAAGTTTAGTGGTTTCGTCCAAATGTATATTGGTTTTGGGGTATCGAAGCCCCAGTACACTCTCTGGCCAATAATGCGATTGGTGGATTGTATCTAGAGAAATATTCACAAATTTTATTAAAATCTTGATACATAATTAACAAGATATACGCAAAAAACTTTCTATGTGCATATATGTACAAAAAGTACCACTTCTACAGATTTTCATTTACTCAAAACCTTGCATGTTTAATTTCATAGTTTAATGTCCAATATTATAGAAAACTTAAATGTTACCAGTTAAAAAACGAAAAAAGTATCAAAAATTCCGTCCTACAAATGTCCATTCACTCGGTACACTGAATGTTGAATGAATATTCAATATTAAAGGAAACATATGTGTAAGTCTCTTTAGCATGTTTTTAATTATAATTTATAAATTCCATATAAAAGATTTGTCAAATTTAGCCCATTCTTTACTTATCGTCACATAAAGCTTTTACAGTAGATTACATATTATGTTAAATTTTGGCATATTCTAAAAATTCAAATGCTTCTCAAATCACCTTCTGCTTATGGCCACTTCTTGCATACTGATAATTTATTTATTTTTATTTTTTTTTTGCATTTTATTTATTTATTGTTCCAATACATAGATTAGAAAAACACATAATTTAGTGTGGTTCACACCTGAATATGGAGAAAAGAATCCTTCAAAGGATAAAGCTAAAGTTGTGCTTTCAATATGCAGACTGTTTTCCTAAGTATTCTTAACTTTTTTCATGAAACCAACGCCAAATCAATAGTAATCCCTGTCAAAATATTATGAATATTTCGGATTTAAGCAATGGAAACTCGTATTGTGGTAAAAATAAACTATTTCAGATCTGTTGGTCACAAAGCTCCACCTAAAGAAATATTAAAAATGCACTAAATTTTTGGAGTAGGACTTTTATTGATATGTGTTTGGTTTCATGGAGAAAAGTTAGAAATCCTTAGAAAAATAGAGGGAATATTCCTATGTAGACATTTCAATTAGCAGGTTCTTACTTGCAAATTCCGGAAATCTTTTAGTGTAAACCAAAATAAACATTCATTATGCTGGACGATGACCTAAAGCAACGATTTATATAACCATCTTGTAACTTAAGGACCACTGTATTAACAGTTTGCAATGGCCCCAACAATAAGCAAGACGTTATCGAACAGAAAACGTTTCGAATAACCAAAAATATACCGTAATTAGCCCATAATCTGAAATAGCATTAGGTGATGAAAAATGAAGAATAAACTAAAATTTACATATGTTTTTGATGAAATTTAAATAAAAACTAAACTCCTTTTTCTCAATGTCTGATTATTTTTTATTCTATCGATAAATTAACAGTTTTCATACAAAAATAATTTTAAACGATAATCGGAGGCCCTAAAACTTGTAATTAAAGCAAAGGTTGGTCCCAATAAATTCAAATTTTATGGCTTATTTAGTTTTTTATGACTTACCCCCATTATTTCTATATCTGGTTATATTTTATATTTTATCTGGTTTTCATACAAAAATATTTTAACCGGCAGAATATCTACAGGTTAATCGATAACCGGAACTGAAGTTAACGGGGCTTACATTTAAAAATTTGAAATTTTTTCTCTCTAGAAGGTGAAAGGTCCATCTGTCTGTTAAAATCAATTTTCTGCAGATCCCAGATATTTTCGAGATCCAAATCTTCAATAATCCTATCAACAAAATCCGTCCATAAATATGAGCAAAAATCCGAGACAACCTTAAAAAAACGTGTGTGGATGTGTTTTGGATTTATCGCTTTGCGTATTTTGTTTATTTTATAAACTTAATCTTAAGTATTTTAAACTCACTTTGGTGTAGGGTATATAAAATTCGGCAAAGGCGAATAAGTAATAAAAACTCCGCGTATTTACATATTCAATTATAAAAGTTTTTTAATTCCTTTGAAATTGAAATAAATTTTGATATCTTTGGTATGAGTAAAATCTGGAATACATTTTTAACAAAATTACATAAACAAGTTTCCCAGCTTATAAAGTGCAAAATTGTTAAACTCTTCATTTCTAAACGTAATTGTTTGTGGAAGTTTAACAAATTAGTAAGTAAGAAGTTATAGTCGGTCAAGGCCGACCATATAATACCCTACACCTGTTAAAAAATTAAAATGCGATTTAGTTTTCATAATAAAGCATTTAAGTTGAATTGTACCTTGTCTCAGATGTACTTAAGCCATTTATTGTTGAATAAAATTGTGGATATTTAAGTCA